CCCCAAAACCCCAAAACCCCAAAACCCCAAAACCCCAGTTAAGTACTCAAGAATTGATATTAAAAAGACAAAAAAGTAATTAAAGAATAAAATCAAAATTACAGAAATGGCAGACGTACATATGCAAGGCCAAAACAGAGCTACAACCACTGGCTCCCCAGAAGCATTTGATATTGAAAACAGTAGAGAGGTGATGGAAGAACCTCCCAAGATGGGAAAGACATTCAAAACGCCAAGGTACTCTACTTCTTAATGCAGATTTGTCAATTTTGCCTACATGGTACTTATCCTCTTGAGTATAGGAGCGAGCATGGAGAGGTACAGGACATTTCACATGTAAGTGGAACTTCTAAAACTGCTGTCATTCTGTCTTAGAGCCCTGTATAAATTAATATTTTCACTCTTCCCCACAGTGCCTCTTCACCTATATTTTGAGAGGAAAAATGATTTTTCTCCTCCAAATCTCCTTATGTATCCTCTGATAAGCTCAACCTAAGGCTGATCTCCTGGCAAGCTGGCTGTTTAAACATTTTTCAAAAATTTCAAAAACTATCTGCTTTTTTAAAAATGAGATCAAGAACTAATTTATATAAAATGCTTTAATCTGATGATAAATTACCTGAATTAACAGCTTTTCTATTCTTAGATAAATCATCATCCACACTCCGGAATCGTAGAATCCCTTAAACTTGGCTCGGTCATGAGGGCTTTGCTATTTTGATAGTAAATAAGCTAGCATAATGTGTTGGTCTATATTATCTTGCGAGTTCTAGAATGTTCCAAAACTTCGACATTCGAACTTCCCAAATGCTTATATGAAGCGAAGATTTGTGATAAAAGTACTGAAAATCTACTTATATCTCAATATATTAATATCATGCTCTTCCTTTGGTATAAAATATCAATTCTGGGTGCATTTTCATATCTCAATCAACTGGTGAACAGACCCTACCTCATACTTTACAAATTTGAAATTTAAAAGCTGTTCAGAGTATTATAACAATGTGACTAGCCAACTTAATGTTTAAAATATTCAAGTTATGTTCAGAATAAAAACCTTTTATGGCATTAAATTCTGATAGTTAAGTCATTGTGCTATAAAAACTGTGAAACCAGCTAACAAGGGATATGCACTGACTATGTATTGTTCTATCAACCTGAGACTTCAGTTTATATATGCTAATCAAATTTGTTTAGACCTTGGCTGATGAGAAACATGAAAAGGATAGTGCAAGCGTGATTTTTATCCAGAAGTTAAACAGTAAGCTCTCTTGCTTTAATCTTTTAGGCTCATTAAGAAACAGAGTAACACAATTCCTGCTAATGAACTGGTTTAAACTCCTCATTGCAGTTCTGATGCTGACAGCTTTGCTAATTATAAAATATGGAGAATTTGTACAAAAGCTTGATGTTGAGAAGCCTTATGATATCGCACATAACTGGCTTCTTCCCTTGAACTTATTTGCGATGGATCACCCATATTTTAGAGACTCTTGGATAGCGACAACTTCATTCCTACTAGATCTCCAATTCTTCATTGTTATGATAAATTGGTTTAAAGATGGGTATTCAATGAGGACCCCAGTCAGCTTAATTATGTTCTATGCTATCAGAGCTGTTATTCAACAGCTCTATGTACTACCATTTCCAGAGCATATTTACTGGGAAGATCCAGGATTCCCATGTCTCCTTAATATCTACGGGAGGCAGAGTGATTTCTTTTACTCTGGACACATAGGCTTTTGCCTAATGTGAGTGTTTGAAAATTATAATCTAAGGGCAACAAAATGTATGGCTTTCGCTATTTTCTCAACTTTCTTCGTTGGTTTCACCTTGCTGACTTTCAGAGTGCACTACTCTATTGATATTTTCACAGGAATTGTCATGACCCACTACTGATACATCATTGTAGGGAAGGTAGTCGACAAATTTGACGCTGCCTGACTCAATCAACATGTGAGAAATATGAACCCTGGGGAAAAAGAAAAAGCTAAAGATCAATCAGAAACCACTAGCTTTAAGGAGTAAAGTTTTTCCGCATTGCCAGTTCTTTCGTAATTTTCAGTTATATTTTGTCCTCTGGGGTTTTGGGGTTTTGGGGTTTTGGGGTTTTGGGG